ATGGGGGCCCAACAGGTGGTATGGGGGCCCAACAGAGGGCACTGTGCAGGGAGCCTGGCCTCAGTACCTCAGGGCAGCCTGGGCTACTATCCAGTAAATGGTAGCACCTGCAGTACCTCTAGAGTGGACAGAACTGATACCATCAGCATGTGGTAGCTACATGCTAAAGGAAACTACATTCTTATAGTAGGTACATGCTAATGTTAGCTACCTGATTATGGTAGCTACATGCTAATAGTAGCTACATGCTAGTAGTATTTACATACTGATGGTAGCTCCGTGTTAATAGTAACTTTCCTCCATCAGATGTTGAATAATGAAGCTGAAGTTGGTTTCCCATTCAGGAAATGGCTAAAGGGTGATTCCACCTAATTATTCACTGCTTTCCGCATCTTTAATCTACTCTAGTTAAAAAACTACAACACGTAGACCAGGGGTGGGCAACTCCAGGCCTGGAGGGTCTCCTGCAACTTTTAGATGTGTCTCTACTTCAACACACCTGAGTCAAATAATGAGGTCGTTAGCAGGACTGGAGAACCTGACTGCACTGAGGAGGAGATTCAGCTGTTGGATTCAAGTGTTTTAAACCAGGGAGACGTCTAAGAGTTGCAGGACAACGGCCCTCCAGGACCAGGATTACCCACCCCTGACCCCTGACCCCTGACCCCAGAATAATCCAGTCTGGACTGGACTGGATTATTCTGCTCTAATAGCAGAATATTTTAATATATATTTTAATCCATGTTTAGAATTTGTGAAACCTTTGTGACTTGTGAAACTTCATTAAAGTTTAGATTACTATTCACGCTTGTTCCATGTATTTTTTTTTTCAAATTCAAACTCAATTCTAATTCAAAACCACTACTTTAATCCCATAGGGAAACTAAATGTTGGTGTAACTCATTAATTATTCAAAGAGTTATTGTAGATGGTGATGGCTGCTGGAAGGAAAGATCTTCTGCAGCGGTCTGTTAAGTTTCACAAATCAAATAAAGGTTTCACAAATCCCTTGGTTTTATATATTCTGCTATTAGAGCAGAATAATCCAGTCCAGGTTTGAAGAGTCTAGGTGTTGTAGTTTTTAAGGTGGAGTCAATTAAGGATGTGGAAGGTAGTGAAAATTTAGGTGGAATCGCCCTTTAGCCAATTCCCGAATTGGAAGCTGGAATTGGAAACCAACTTCAGCTTCGTCGTCTGATGAAGCTTTGGAGTCCTCTGGACTTGATAAATCGCTTTATGATGTTCTAAATTAAGTTCTTTATTTGTTTGTTTCCCTTTTTGGTGGTTAATTATTATTTCTGGTTTGAGAGTATATGATTTTATTTTGAAGGGATTAGTGTTAGCTTTAAATATTAATAAAGGCAGCTTAACAATGAAAAGACAGAAGAGAAGTTGTTATGGAGATATGTCTTGTTATTAGCAGTGTGACATAAATAAAAACATGTTTTAAACATTATGTAACTAAAACTAAAATAGTTTTAGGCTGCAGCCGGTATTTAAAACCCATTTAATCCCACCAGCAACAATTGTTGCCTGACATTTTTTCTAACTTCTGGAAGCTCTAGAAGAATTGTTTTGACTTTTAGCAACTAATTGAAGATTTTAAATCAAATAATAATGTGTCTACTCTAAGCAATATCAATTTCATGTATCTAGTGTGACAGGTCACATGACTAGACCTCTTTACTTCCTGCCTGTAACGCTGGAGGTAAATGTCAGTCACAAACCTGAACAAGAGGAAGTCAGTAAAATATTTAAATAAACAAATATAAAATATTTTATACATATGTCCTTTCAAGTGTCTTCTACTGACATATAAAGAAAATTGTATCCATTCATTCATCTTTTAGTCATAAGAAGAGTGAATGTAAGCGTGGCAACAACTGTTGCTGCTAGCATAACACATAGATAGCACTATGCTATGTGTCCATAGCTTTGCTGTTTATTCGATATGCCTTGCTGTTTCCATACAGCTTAAAATTATCAGATATTTAGATCTTCTAGACCTGAAGGAACCTCAAAATTATGTCTTCTAAATCCCACAGTTGAACCCCCCTTTATGCCGCCCCCTCAAATACCAAACCTTTCTACAAAATGTGACCTTTGCACTGAATGACGACTACAAGATGACGCCGCGCCTGAATCTAGTTTAGGACAAGGAAAAGGTCTTGGTCTGGTGGAACAGGGACAATGTCCTCTCAGATGCAGATTTGTTCAAACTAACACTTTCATCTGATTTTGCCTCATTGATGAAATGACCAAATGAGGTCAAAGGTCGCTTGGCACATTGAGACAATGACATCTGCAGGATGTGGCATTGAATTTATGTTTCTAAAATATTTCTGAACACTCTTGTAACCATTATTTGTTATAATAGGTTATGCATATAATTTTTCTTATTTTTTTATATTTATGAATAGGCCACATTTGTGCAATTCAGACTATGCTGTTTCCCACCAGCAACAATTGTTGCCGAGTATAAAACCTGTATTTTCACTAACATAACCAACATAAAATGTAATAATTCATAAATATGTGTTAGGGAGGTCCAAGAATTGAAATGCATGCACTTATTTGGCAGGAACAAACTTGGGATTAAAACTGTATCTGTTCGGCTGTGTTGTGGTGGCGCAGGGGTTCAGCAGTCCTCGGCGGCTGACGCAGGTTCGATTCCCGGCCTTGGCGACCTTTGTTGCATGTTTTCCCCCTTCTCTCTTTACCCAATTAACTATCAAATAAAGGCCACTAGAGCCAAAAAAAACTGTGTCTGCTCCATCATATTCTAAAACTAAAACAGTTTTACTGTGTAGCCGGTATTTGAAGCTGGACCGTTGAGGTGTTTTTGGCTTACAGTGATTCTGATGCCCAGTTCTAACAGACTGAAGTTCCGGCCTGGTCAGTCTCATCCTCATGTTCTGGTCGGGTTCTGTCTCCGGTGCGCCCTGCTTGGTTGCCATGGTTTCCATATAAAGCAGCGCTGCGACCATCTCAGCTCCTGGTTCGGCATCCTGAGTTCTGGATCAGACTCCCGGTTCGGAACCTTTTCATGCAACAGAACAATCTCCACCTCCCCCCACCCCCCAACACCAACACGCACACGCATAGCTGTTTACAGGCAGAAATGTGTGAAGCTCATGATGATAACTGAATATCCACACACTAGCTCTGACGTCATCCCTGTGATCACGCGAGCGCACATACTCACCTCGCAAGGTGAGGCATGAGAGTCTTCATCTGAGGGGTTGTTGTCCGTCCTCTGACCGACCTCAGAGCGCTCTGAGCCGGGCAGCGAGCTGACAGAGACCCGCTGAGGAGCCGCGGAGCTCCGGACTTCTGAGAGCCGAGAGAGGAGCTTGGCGGGCGGGCAGCAGAGCGCCCAGGTGTCTGGGAGGCTGGAGGATGAGTCTCCTGCAGAGGAGGAGGAGGAGGAGGAGGAGGAATGAGCTGAGAATACAGAGGAGGTGTTCAGTTCAGATCTCCTCCTCATGGTCCTAAAGCCCCGCAGGTAAGAAAATATCTCTCTGCTCTTTGAGGAGCTCCAGCCTCCTCCAGGACCCAGATGGAGGTCTGACCCGGATCAGAGCCGGACCAGGACCAAGAGGACTGTTCCTCCTCACACTGAAGTGGAGGTTCAGCCTCCTGGAGGACCTGCTGAGGTCCTTCATCACTGGAACAACTGAATTATTTAATGTAATAAATAATTACGTTAAATAATTAGTAATTTTGAATAATTACGAATTATTCGACCAGAACACTGCAGACACTCTGCTTCAGATCCAACAGAACCTCTGATTGATGAGAAGGACAAAAGAAGTTTCACATGAACCATTTCAGGTTTTCAGAGAGTTACCTCCTGTGTTAGGCTCTGGTTCTGGTTCTGGTTCTGAAAACCCTGAATGTGGCCTTCTCCGCCCTCTCGTTTGAATATAAGAACATGAAATAAAAAAAGCCTGAAATAAAAACGGTTAGAAAACATAAGCCCATAAAATATGTGAAATAACTTACAAAACAAACCACCCTTATGAAATAAATAAAACTATAACTGACAACATGATCTCCAGATTAACATTTCAATTTGATGTTAGACATCAATTGTGTATTAATTTATGACAGTTTTTATTTAATTTTGAGTGACGCTGATCTCCGTAGAATCAAGGATACACTTAACCGGTGAAACGAGACGTCATGACAGAACTCCTCCGAACAGAGGGGGCGCTACTGCGCTAGCAGCTTACCGGAAGATTAGCACAGAGGCGGAAGACGCGCTCCGTGGTGTGACAGTGCGCATCAAACCTGCGGCAGAACCCGGACAGAACCTATAGAACCAGGCTGGAAAAGACTGCGTTAGGGCGAAAGAGGAAAGTGCGCGCGCAGTTGCAGGTGCGGGACTCGCCAGGTAAACCGGACTCACACTGAGGAGGGGGACAGGTCCACCGGGTTCCGGTCCGGAGCGGACGACTGTGTTCTCTACACGGTTTGTTTAAAACCAGAACCGTTCCGAACCGCTTTGGTTTAGCTTCGGGTCTACTTCATATGCTGTCTGTAACCGGAACTGTGTAACCTAACAGCTGCTGGACCCGGTTCTCCTCAGCCGTTACCAGGTTCTGGTGTTTAACTGAGCCGAATTCTCCGGAACATCATGGACCAGCAGACCAGAGTCTTGTGTGATGCACGACTGCAGCAGGTTCTGGGTCCTGGCGGGTCTAAACTTGCACCCTTTGAATCCGGAGCGGACTTCGGTGTGACGTCAGCACGTTGCGTCAACGGCACAGGGATAGAAACACAGTTAGTTGGTCAACTACCTCGTTAGCTAGTTAACGGTCAAGTTAGTTAAGCTGGTAACTACTTATTAGTTAAACAGTTAGTTAACCTGTCGATCACGTGAGGTAGAAACCGTGACCTGCTGACTTGTGGAGCTGCTCCCTGATTGGCACGTTGATTGAAGGAACCTCAGGCCCAGAGTGGGCCCGGTTCTGACGGATCCAAGGGTGGATTGGACTGTCCTGCTGGCGGCAGGGAGAGTGCAGCTGAAGAACCCTTGACTGAAATGTCCAGGGGACACCAAGAAGGATGAAGGTTCTGATGAGAGGGGTTCTGGTCTGGGTCAAACTCCTCCAGACTCTGAGGATAAAACAGAACCAGGTCCAGTTCCTCGACCCATTTCTGTCATGTGGTCTGATGTATGTCTCTGTTTCCATAGCAACCATGGTGGGCGAGCGCCGCAACGGGAACCTGCTCGTCCAGCTGGGGCCCAGCCTGCAGGCGTACCCGGAAGAGCTGATCCGCCAGCGACGGACCCACGACGGCCAGACGGAGTACCTGATTCGTTGGTGCCTTGTCACCGTGGACGATGGGTCCAGCTGCGGGGGCGGAGCCGGCGAGACGGGTGGCCCGAGCGGTGTAGGGACCGGCGTAGGCGGGTCCGGTGGCTCCACGTCCGGAGAAGCTAAGCCGGAGAACATCCTGATGTGGATGACGATGGAGGACGTATTCGCCAACTGCCCCACGCTGCTGGGCAAGAGGAAGGCGGAAGCACAGCGCCCCCTACAGCCGCAGGAGAAGCAGCTTGGCGGCGAGGCCACGGATGGAGCCCCTCAGGGCGGTGAAGAGTTCCCGGCAGACGTGACATTCGACGAGGTGGAACTGTCCGACATGAAGCAGGACGTGAAGAACCTGGTGTGCCGCGCCCGGAAGCAGATGGCAAAGAAGAGCGACTTTTCCATCAACATCATGCACACCATCCACGTGCTGAGCGCCTACGCCAGCATCGGCTCGCTGGTCGGCGTCTTCAAGGAGACCGGTGCCCTCAACCTGCTGATGGAGCTGCTGTGCAACAAGGAGACGCAGACGAGGCGCAGCGCCGGCAAGATGCTCCGGGCGCTGGCCTCACACGACGCAGGTCAGCTGCATTCTGGGTAACCTGGCCTGGGTGTAGGGCTTAGTAGACCCGGTTCTGTTGCTATGGGGCGGGCTGATCTGGATAGACCCGGTTCTGACCCGGTGCCCCTATGTCTCCCTGCAGGGAGCCGGGCTTACGTCCTGCTGTCCCTCAGCCAGCAGGACGGCATCGAGCAGCACATGGACTTCGACAACCGCTTCACGCTGCTGGAGCTGTTCGCCGAGACCACGTCCTCCGAAGAGCACGGCATCTCCTTCGAGGGCATCCACCTGCCCCAGGTATTTCCACCTACCCCAGGTATTTCCACCTGCCCCAGGTATTTCCACCTGTTCCTGGTACCCCACACCTGGGGTGTTCAGTTTCTTTTAGAATTAGGAAAAGCTGTTGTCTGTGGGATACTGTAGCAACACAATTCCGGTGGTTTGGGTCAAAACAAGATCAAAATCAGATGGTTCTGATCTGATTCTGATCCGGTTCTGTCTGTTCAGATACCAGGGAAGTTGCTCTTCTCCCTGGTGAAGCGATACCTGTGCGTCACGTCTCTGATGGACAAGCTGAACACTGCGGGGGGAGAGCCAGGCTCAGAGAGACAGGACGGTAGCCCCGCCCCCACCGCCTCAGGCTCCGCCCACCAGACAGAGCTCCTCCGGCTTCAGAAAGAGGTTGACTTCACCATGGCTATGGCCAACCTGATCTCGGAGCTGGTCCGGGTCATGGGCTGGGACCGGAACCGGAAGCCGCCCGACGGCTCTGGCCGGCAGCCAGGAGGGGGCGTGGCCTGCAGCGAGGAGCGGGCGGAGGAGGTGCCCCGCCCCATCCTCCGCTCCATCTTCCAGCCCCGGTTTTGCACCTCATCTGTGTCGCCGGCTGCTGGCTCCCCAGTCTCGGCACCGGCAGCCACGCCAACCAAGAAGAGGGGCGGGAATGGCTTCAAGGCGCGGTCGGACTTCAGTAGCCGCTCAGCGTATGTGGAGTACGTCCAGGACAGCCTGAAGAGCGGCATGGCGGTGCGCATGCTGGAGGACTACGAGGAGGTGAGCGCCGGCGACGAGGGCGAGTTCCGCTACAGCAACGACGGCTCGCCGCCCGTTCAGGTGAGGACCGGGTCCTGCTGCGTCAGTCAGCTTGGAGCCACTTTTGGATCACGCTGTGCTGTCTGCAGGTCTACTGGAACTCCCTGTCCAGAACCTACTGGGTCCACTGGCACATGGTGGAGATACTGGGCAGCGGAAGCAGCAGCCAGTCCGACAGGGAGACGCAGGAGAAGGCCTCCACCCTGACCGAAACGCTCAAACTCACCGCAGGTAAGGTGGACTTCCTGCCCGCTATGCCTCCTTCTCCTCTCCTCTTCCTTCCTCTCCTCCTCCTCTGCCCCCAGTCAGCCAGACGTTCTTCTCCAAGCCGCCGGGCGGCCTGTACTCGCTGCCCTACCTGACGGAGGCGCTGCAGGCAGAGCCACTGCTGCTGAGCCGAGCGGAGTGGTGGGAGGTGCTGTTCTTCATCAAGAAGCTGGAGCCCAAGCAGCAGCAGGAGGTGCACAGCTTGCTGCAGCAGAGCTTGGAGGACCAGGTGGGGCCCCTCGCCATGTCCCCTGTCTCCAGGTTAGAGCCGGCAGACCCATCTCTGTCCTCTGTCCAGGAGGTGCAGCCAGACGACGCGTCTCTCATCGGCCTGTCCGTCCCCGGAGACGTGTCCAAGAAGCTGCTGCACTACCTGAAGCAGGCGCTGCCGTCCTGGTGCCTCGGCGACCTGCTCTCCTCCCACGCCTTCTGCAAGCACTACCTGCGGCGAGGAGGAGGAAGCCTGGAGGACGAAGAGCTGCTGGGTGAGAGTTAGGTTCAGGGACCTCCTTCCTGACTCTGCCACGCTGCTCACTCTGCTTCTGTCTACTTCTCTCTGCAGCAGAAAGCTCCCTGGCTCCATCCGCTTTGGGAGGAGGAACACAGAGCTTCACCTCCACATCGTCGGCCTACTCTTCCTCAGCTAAAGGCTCAGTTTCCAAGAAGGCCAAGAAGGAAGTTCCTCTGGACTCTGGCTGCTCGGAGACGGAGAGCGAGCTTCCCTCTGAGGACGACAGCAAGTATCCAGATGACATAGAGGACAAGATGAAAGGTGGGGACATCATCATGACGATGAGGAGCGTCTGTCTCCATGTTGGTGATGAGGTGTAATGCTGTCTTCCTGCAGTGTTCAACAACCCGCGGGTTCAGGGGAAGAAGAGCCTGCTGGAGAAGCTGGGGGAGGTGGTGGACATCCTGAAGAAGGGAGGCTCGGCCTCAGATCCCGCCCTGCAGCTGTCCGCTGTCCTCTTCATCACTCGGCTGCTGGAGGAGAAGAGCGCACAGGACAAGAACTCCATGAGGAGCGATTCAGCCCAGACCATACGGTGAGAGACCTCAGAGTAGCCCCTGTCCAGGACATAGACTGGACCAATTACTCTGTCCAAGAAATGGCCTGAGCTGGTGTGTTTCTGACAGTGACAAGGTGCTGAAGCTGCTGGTGGAGCTGCTGGGCTCTTCCTCCAGGGATGTGGTTGTGAGCACGCTCAGATTGACCCACCTCCTCATGTTGAAGTACGAGTGGAGGGTGTGCTTCGCTACAGAGGGCGGGGTCAAAGCGGTCCTGTCCTGCATGCAGGAGTTCTCCACGGTAGTCCACGTGCTCCAGCTAGCGCTGGCGGTAAGCCTCATCGTCTTCTCTTATGTTGTTGAGAATGATGATGATGATGACCCAGTCCTCTTTCTCAGACGCTGAAGGTCATCACCGGCGCCAGTAAACACGACCTGCGCAGCGTCGGCAGCAGCCTACCGCTGTCAGAGTCGGGAACCCAGATGATGCTGGAGATCTTCGCCAGCATCGGCTCGGCCACTCCTGAAGGCTCCAAGGGCCTCCTGAGCACCATTCCTTCTGCCATCGACCTCATGCTGAAGTCCAAAGGGTGAGTTCTCCTTCCGAGACGCAGCTCCCTGTTCCCATGACTCCCTGCTCAAACTGTTCTTCTGTGCAGCTGCATGCTGTCGGTCCGGAACGGGCTGCTCGTCATCATCATGCTCATCGCCAGCCACAAGAGCTTAGCAGAGCAGCTGGTGGCTTGCGGTGTCACCGCCATCCTGAAAAAGTGTTTGACACTGTCCAGGGCTGAGACCATGCTGGCCATCATCGCCCTCAACCACATCTCCATGGTGCACAAGCTGGAGAGCAAAGGTACGAGTCTTTGGTGCAGGCATGACCAAGGCCCTTTTCCCTGACTCGGACTGTTGCTGAGATCGTTTTGCTCCTGAAAAGATCCAACATGCTGCAGGATCAAGGGTCAGGGGAGCAGTACTAGGCTGGTTTACATCATCGGGTTATTGGAGAACCGCAGGGCTCTGGTTTGGCCCAGTTCTCTTTGCTATACATCTGCTTCCAATTGATGAAATTACTAGAACTCATGGGATAAATCTCCACCGTTATGCTGATGATACTCAGTCATACCTATACATAAGTCCTGATGAGGCCAGCCAGATGATAGATTATAGGAATGTCTTGAGGAAATTAAAACCACCAGTGTATACCTCACCGTTTTGATCTATGAGGTATATACCCTGTTTACTTTAGTCTGTGAGGCAGATGTCTCATCTAGTTTATTCCATGAAGCAGCTTTATTTCTGTATTTAAGGTAAGCTCAGGCAACCACAGGTTCTATGGACCACACAGGTCCTGTTCTATGAATAAACCAGGTCGTCTTTCTCAGAGAGTCAGGACCAACTGGACTTTAAGGACACAGAGCTGCAGATGTTGGTGGTGAGCCTGAAGGAGCTGACGGTGACCAAAGAGGTGATCCAGACCCTGGAGCAGCTACTGTGCGACGATACGTCTCAGCTGGAGGACGAGCGTCGACAGGTTCTGGAAAAGATCTGTTCAGACCCACAGAGCCCGTGCTGCCGCCGACCAACAGCTCATCTCGTATTTTTATGCAGGTCACCCACAGCCGGGACACCTACCAGGACCTGGTCCGCCTGATGGAGCAGCACCGAGCTGACCGGGCAGTCCAGCTGTCCATCCTCAGGTAAGGTGCCTCTGGAGCTGTTGCTCCTGTAGTGGTACTGCTGGTATTGCCGACAGCGGCCCCAGTGGTGCTGCTGGACCTTTGACTCTGACTGTACCTGCAGAATCCTCAACAAGTTCCTGGACAACTACGAGGAGGATATGCTGCCATGGCACGAGAGCATTGAGCCGTGTCTGTCCACTATGACGGCGTTCATCAACGATAGAGAGGTTAGCAGTGCTCCTGGTTCTGAGGTCAGAGGTCATGGTGAGAGGCTAACCTGCTATGATGACTCCACAGGTTGTGCAACTCTTCATCCGCTTCTTGTACCGACTGGCTTCACTGAACAAGGACTATGCAGTGGTTATGTGCCGCCTGGGGACCAAGGAGTCTCTGGTGAAGGCTCTGGACAAACACAGCACCAACCTGCTGCTGGTCACCGAGCTGCGAGACCTCATCAGTGACTGTGAGAAATACGCCAGCCTCTACAAGAAGATGACCACCAGCGTGCTGGCCGGATGCATCCAGGTGGGCGCCTGCAGGGTCCCTGGACCTGGAGATGCCCTGGAGAACATCTTAGCTTCATCTCCAGCAATAAAGAGCTCAGGACCTCATGGTCTCCAGTGATTGGCTGCTGTGAGTCATGTGCTGCCTGTGTTTCCTGTTGTGTGTCAGATGGTGCTGGGTCAGATCGAGGAGCACCGCCGCAGCCACCAGCCAATCAACATCCCCTTCTTCGACGTCTTCCTGAGGAACCTGTGTCAAGGTCAGTGCAGATGTTCTTTTATGTTCATGGACAGAGTGGTTTCTGAAACTGGTCTAACTGGTGTCCCTGTTGATGTTCCCAGGCTCCAGTGTGGAGCTCAAGGAGGATAAATGTTGGGAAAAGGTGGAGGTTTCCTCCAACCACCACAGAGCCAACAAGCTGACTGACAAGAACCCCAAAACCTACTGGGAGTCCAATGGGTGCACTGGCTCGCACTTCATCAATATTTACATGCACAAGGGCGTGGTCATCAGGTGGGTGTGGTAATCAGGCAGGTGTGGCCATCTCTCTCTCTCCATCTCAGGAGTTTTCAGGTGAAGGGTTCTGTTGCTAGGCGTCTTTTTGGGGCGAGGTTTTGTGGTGTGGCCGTCTGTTACAGCTGGTCTACCTGCCTGTGTCGCCTGACTTTTGATATTGCGTGTTTCTATGTTCAGACAACTCGCCATCCTGGTCGCCAGTGAGGACTCGAGCTACATGCCGGCCAGGATCCTGGTTCTGGGCGGGGATGACCCGGCCAACATCAACACAGAACTCAACACGGTGAGTCTGGTTCTGGTCAGGTCAACGAGGGCGGTTCCCCATCTGACCCCGCTCCATCTTTACAGGTGAACGTCGCTGCCTCAGCCAGCCGCGTGGTTCTCCTGGAGAACATGACCCGGTTCTGGTCCATCATCCAGATCAGGATCAAGAGATGCCAGCAGGTCAGTCTTTGCTCCTTAAACCTTCTGGGCCTCCTCCACAGGTGTTGATCCGTCCCTTTGTGCTGCAGGGTGGCATCGACACTCGGGTCCACGGCTTTGAGGTTCTGGGTCCAAAGCCCACGTTCTGGCCCGTGTTCAAGGAGCAGCTGTGCCGCCGTACTTACCTGTTCTACAGTACCAAGGCCCATACCTGGTGTCAGGAGGTGGTGGAGGACAAGGCTCAGCTGCTGCAGCTCTTCAACAAGTACAAACTTTTCTCTGCCTGTCAACCAGTGATTCTGCAGCCGCTGCTGACTCACCCGAGAACTTGAATCTGTGTGTGTTTAGGCTGAACAGTGCATTGAGACACGAACAGATGTTTGCAGATCGGTTTCTGCCAGACGCTGAAGCAGCCGAAGCTCTGGGTAGGACCTGCTGGGAGGCTCTGATCAGCCCCATCGTCCACAGCATCACGCTGTCAGGTGACCACGCCTACCCACACACACAAATGATGTCGAGCTTATTCCAATCTGCAGGTTTGGTCTGATGACAAACATTTTCCTTCAGTGAAGATCACTCTGTTGTGCGTCTCTCTAAGAACATTTTCCCATTAAAACCTAACATTACATTTTGGAGTTGTCTTATAGAGTGAAGACTCTGTAAGACCGAGTTAAACAAGGAAAAACATTTATTAACCAATTCAAGTATATTTACATATTGGGAAAGCTCATAAATTTAAAGATTAAGTGAATCCAAATTTAGAGACCGGTGGGAGGGACGAAGCCTAACAGTCCCACCAAATCTAGCATCCCTCTAACTTTTTTAATGGTGCAGGGAACACCCTCACTCCCTCCAATATTCCATTGCTTGTGTATGTTGGACCTCCCAAACTTTATCCATGTATGGCAGCCTGTATCTGTGGAATGTCTAGGTTACTCATAACAAGAAGGCCTCAGCTTGAATGTATTACTGAGACTTAAAGATATAACTTGTTTTGAGACACTTCACTCTCTTCAGAATGTCAACTGTGTTCTGTGTCACTGGACCCTCCCGAAGGTGTAAATATTCACAGGGGTGGTTTCTGAACTTTTGATTTGTTGATAGGTTTTTCTTTTAAGAGGTTCTGGTCTGTAAATATTTCTTTATTGAAGCTTTCTGAGCCTGAGCTATGCTTCATGTTCTATCCAGAATCAAAAGCATCCAGTCCACTGTCGTGGCTCCTCAGCGAGTACCTGGAGAACTCAGAGGTGGCCCGCCGCTGCAAGAGCCGAGCCGCCATCTTTAACTCCAGAGTGAGACGCCTCACTCACCTCCTGGTCCATGTGGACACGAGTTCAGCTGATGGCGAGGAGCTCAAACCTCCAATGAAGTCCAGTGAGTGAAACCCGCAAAACTAGCTGGACCAGTTTATGACCTGATAGGTTGAGGTTAAGATGAAGATCCGATGGGTTGGGTTAATGATTTGATGGATTACTGCTCCAACAGCTTGGATACTGATTCAACAGGTTGGGTTCTGATTCAGTGATTTGTGGTCTGACCAGTTGGGATACTGATTCGACAGGTTCATGATTCAATGGGTTAATGATCCAAAAGTCTGGGGTACTGATCCGACAGGTGAGGTACTGATTCAATGGGTTTGTGATCTGATGGGTCTATGATCTGATGGGCTCGTGATCTGATGCGTTAATGATCCGACAGGTGAGGTACTGATTCAATGGGTTTGTGATCTGATGGGTCTATGATCTGATGGGCTCGTGATCTGATGCGTTAATGATCCGACAGGTTGGGTACTGATTCAATGGGTTCATGATTTGATGGGCTACTGGTCCAACAGCATGGGTACTGATCTGATGGGTGGAGTTTCTAATCATATGGGTTAATGATCTGATGGTCTGGGGTACTCAGGGTTTCCCCCAGTGTATTATAAGCCTGGCGAATAGTCAGAGTTTACTTGCTCCCACCCCACCAGGGTAAGTGATGCTTGATTTTGTTTTTAGAAGAAGAAATTTCTTACATTTTTAAAAAAATTATAAGCCGGACTGCAAGCGTCTCTGTTGCGCTGAGTGTTTTGCTGGCGGAGCAGAATTATTCCTAAATGATAGGATTGTAGTTGATGCATTTAACAGGCCACAAAGCTGCGCAGACCAGTCATACTGCTGGCGCCTCCTTGCACTTTGTCGCTGCTTGATGTCTGAAGTTTACTTCTGTGCAGATTGCACACTCCTCCTTTCGCTCAAACTGGACACAGGTTGACCTGTATGGATATTTACATCAACCCCCTGTGAGGAATTATGTTTCTTTGGAGAACTCTACATCAAGGTAGGAGATTAAAACCCACCGTGTTAGCTTTGCTTGTGCAGCTCTATGGTATAAGCTATAGTCGTCTCTTTCAGATGTGCGCATTGAGCGAGTGTTGAGAATGATTTTATCTTTGTGAGCAAAGAATTATGTGATGTTTACATCTCGACTTGCTGCCCAGTGCCTGGCTCTGTTTCTGTGCTGATCAAGATTATGTATGTGGTCCTGGTTGGCCAGTGCGTTACTGGTTAAGTGGTTCAGCCTGTGGAGGAGCTTTCGCACTTGCCTCGTGGTTGCGCATCACTCTGTTTTTATTTTATCTAATGATAGTTTTTTCTTATTTTTACGGTTACACGATGTATGTGACCACATCAACTACTTAGTCAGCCAGAGTTAATGCGGGTGGCTGCGCAGAGAGACCAGATAAACTCGGGCAACCAAAACAGTTTCTGTGGCGCTTATAAAAAAAACTCAACAGACACAAAATGGAAGAGCTTCTAAAGGCACATAAATTAAATCTTCTCGTTGACCTTCTGTATTCAGCAGAGATGTGCAGTTCAGCGGATTTAGCTCCTCATGCCGGGCTGGTCCAAGGCTGTATGAGACCTTGAGCAGAATTTGACTAAATGATCTCTTTTGCTGCTTAGAACATGAGCACCACTAACAACATTTCAACATGGATTCTGGCAGAAGGGAGTCGTTTAACTGGCCAACCTGAAAAGCAATCAGTTATAATTGTAGTTTACTGAGATGTATTTGTGGACAGAGCTCAAACTCACAGCATTAGACTATAGCTGTGTTGATAAAACAATTCAACTGAAGATTGTTCTTTTAACTTTTACAAAATAAACTTGCCAGCTTCTTTAAAATCTTAAATTTAATGTTAATCAATTTAAAGTCTTTTAATTTATGTAGGGGTGAATCTAGGATCTGACCTTTAGGGGTGCTGAGCCCCCAGCAGGGCCAAGGCCCAAGAGAAGATATTTGTTGGTGGAGTTTTCTAAATCTAACTGCTTATTTTCATACATTCACATACAAAATTAAATAGTTTTGTCCAATTAAAACTGTTAACTACATATAGCTATGGAAAAAATTAAGAGACCACTAAATTTTTGCTTGGAATTTCGGAGACATGTTGTCAGTAGTTCATAAAATAAAAGAACAATGTTCATTTTACTCAATCATATACGTATAAAGTGGGGCTGTTGTAAACAAATATTTTAGTAATCCAGTAATCTATTGATTATTCTTACGATTAATTGAGTAATTGGATAAAAAAGTTGATAGAACATTTTAGTCATTTCATAGGATTAATAAACGTAAAACCAGTTTATTATCAAGGTAGAAGTTCAGGATAATGACTAGTGAAAATGAATCATTAACCTGAACTTTATTGAAAATCATACGTAGAAATTGCATTACCCTTATTTTTATCTGAACATTATGAGGCTACTGGCCTTTTTTCTTTAAACAAGAATGTTTGTCCATCTATGGAAAAGTGGACATTAGAGTCAGGGTTTAACTATTTCAGTTCACAGTTTATGCAATGGACCTGTCATAGTTTCAGGACCAAACACCTTTCTGTTCAGTCACACATCCTAACATCCTGTACTGTTCTTTAGTTTGACCTGATTTAAGTGACTCCAGAGGTTTGGGAAATTAATTACAAACCACAACAGTCACTAATCAAACTTCAAAACAGACCAACAAGAGAATTAACAAGGCTAAGGACCAGGATCAGACTAACCCATTATTAATCCGAATATTTTGCACACATACATAATTTTGTACTGAACAATTTTCAGAACAAAATCTTCAAATAAATATAGCCAATACTTTACACAATTTCCATTCATAAATATATAAAAAAAAAATCTGAATCGACTGGAGAGTTGGGTCAGACTCTCCGGTCCAGTGCTCAACTGGTTTGAATCTTCAAGATTCAAGATACTTTATTGTCATTCACATCACGCATCACATGAGGTGGAACGAAATTGAGAGT